ATGGCAACCTCTTTGTTCGCGTGGTTATAAACAGCGACTTTCTCTGTAAGATCTGCTTTGTCTTTGATTTCCTTGTTCAACAAGTCATCCAATGTGATAGAAGCATTGTAGGTACGAAACACTTTTGCCGTAAGGCCAGGCATCTGTTGCTTTAAATGAGCATTCAATCTACTCGCATCCAACTTGTCAAAGAGATCATCACCACCGCGTTTCCCGGCCTGGAACTGTCTAATTTCCTTGTAAACAGGAACCTCAACTTCAACGGTATTTTGGTATCTGATAGAATCTTTACCAAGGAAGTTAAACTCCAACGAGTTAGGGGCGATTGCTTTCACATGCTCTACCTTCAATGTGCAGCAACCAACAGTATCAGCTTCCTCTTCTCCCTTTTCATTTCCCGCCCTCAGAGCAAGCTTATCGATGAGATAGGTTGCAACCGCTATCTGCCTCTTCGCGCAATCTTTACTGGTAAAATCCCTAGAGTAATCTGCCCTGATTTTCCCAATGTAGTCCTTGAGCATCCTCGCATTCTCGTACTTCTTCTGGTCACTTTCTATCTTCAAGGAGCTACTCTCCCCAAGATACACGTACTTGAATTTCTTTGGAGTGATTGGATCTGTCCAGAAAGCTAACCATGTAACCGTATCATCATGCCTCGCTTCTTTCCACCTTTCGCCGGGGACAGGACATTCTGGAACCGGTGCATCCTGCCCTATGTTGATCGTAACATCACTCGGAAGAATCCGCCTTTTTACCTTTCCCGATTTTGGATGCTCCCCTCGGCCTCTGAACAATGCAGGAGGTTCAACTCTGAATCTTCCAACTATCTCCTTTTCACCATCAACGAACGCCCACGCATACTTCTCCTCTTGTTTCTTTTTCTCCGCCCCCGCGGCCTTCTTCTCTTCCCTACTCATTTGTTTCCTGTTTTCCTTTTCTTTCATACACCACTCGTATATTGGGGTGAAATCACAACCATCCAACCTCCGAATTACGTGGTTCTCCCCGAGCAACTTACGCCAATCATTCCAAAAATTGTTTCGGAACGTTTGCTTCTTCTGCACGTAATCTGTATCTTTCATCACGGCGTACATAGTTGCGACCTCCTCTTGTTCAGGACTCAAGTCTACCGGCTTCCCTTCATACATCATCTTTACACCATGGGGCTCGTACGGAGGCGGAAACATCACACCGTTGTGAACCAAAGTTTTCCATTTTTTCTGCCCATCATTAGAGCTCGGTAGCACATTCGTCGACTTAGGGCAACTCGAAAGTTTCAAACCATTTTGGCCCTTTTTGATCGGTTTCCTGGTGGAGGATGAACCGACCTTCATTGCCTTCTTCTCTGTCAACAAGGTAGGTTCCTTGATCCTCTGGGAAATTGGAATCAAGTCGTCATCTTCGTCGTCATCTTTTTCCTCCGTAATTTTTAGGGTAGATGTTGAAGAACAAGCATGTGAAACTTTTGGCCTTTTAGGTGAAGAATCGGCCTTGTGATCTAGGGGCCTCTTCCTCTTCCTCTTTTCACCCTTGGACTTGGGTGTTAGCAGCAGCCTTGATGATAAAGGTTTATCATCGTCGTCGTCATCGTCCTCCGAATCTTGAGAAGGTTTCACCAGTTGTCTGGCAGTAGCTATCGGTTTATCGTCTTTGGAATCATCACTGTTTGCATGAGAACCCCGGATGGATAATACTTGGGTCCTGACCAGTCGAGAAGCAGCGATAGGTTTTTCGTCTTCGAAATCATCACTGGTTTCTTGAGCAACAAAACTACGATTTTCTTGAGCAGATGACATGGTTGATGGAACCATCTTTGCCCTGTTGGTTTCGATTTTTGAACGCTATTTGGTATTTTTGATGGCTTTATATAAATAGAACTCTCTCTTCCAACAAATAGGAAAGCTATACGGGCGGCGGGTCAGCCTCATCTTATTTTTTACTCCAACAGATGGGATATCGGATAACCTAAAGAAAAAAGGAAATAGGATGATTAATAAAATAAGGGCCGTCTAAATAAAATATATTTTTTTGCCAATAGGAACTTCTCCGGATCTTCTTTTTGAGGATTTCGGGCTGGTTTGGTATTGCTGTGCTTTGAAAAAAAGCTGCTGTGAGAATAAGCGGCTGTGCTGTGAGAATAAGCGGCTGTGAAATAAATCAGCAGAGTGTTTGGTAAACTTTTTTGTAAAAGTGCTTTTGAAAAAAAAAGCAGTCTGATAGTGGATCTTTTCATTAAAGGAGCACTGTAGTTCTATGTGCTTTGAAAAAAAGCCACCAAAGCTACAAATTGCAGCTTCAGCTTTTTCCTTTGATTTCAGCTTATTCTCACAGCAGCTTCCAAAATAAGCCATTTTTTTTAAGTTTACCAAACACCAAAAACACTCCCAGCTTTTTTTCATATGAGCTTTTTTTAAAATCACCTCAACCCCAAACTGGGGCTTCATCCTTTAATTGTGTCCGTTCATTGTTCATCGTATATCGTACGGTCATAAATCATTTTAAATTTTTTATTTAAAATTGAACACAAGCAATACCTGACGAAAACTGATCGCACGAGATACGATGAACGAACATGATTAAAAGATCTACGTGATTCTCACAAAGAGGATTCGAAAAGGATCCTCATTCATTTTTTGGGGGTGGTTTTTGCAAATGCATCGGAATTTGAATTTTCTAGAAAAGCAATTCAACGCTCGCGGCCTCGTCTAGCAAAAAAAAATTAGCTACACATATGCATGTTAAATATACGTTCTAAGTTGAATATCATGAGCAGAAAATGCATTAGGTCAAAAAAAACTGTTAACAAGATTTAGGGTTTTTCAGGGCACAAATTTTTGGGACAACGTCCTACACCACTATTTCAGTATTTCCAGTCCAATATCTGAATCAATGATCCATAACTGCCTCATTTGGTACGGAAGATTGGATTAAAACGGATAATCAAAAGTATGGGGTAGGAAATGAAAAATTCAGAGTCAAATTCTACCGGTAGGAGATGAATTTCTCCAGAAGAAAAAATTATCCATTCCAACGATTTCAATGGTTTCAATCAAAACAAAATTACCGAATAAAATTACCGTAAAACTCAAAGGAAGCATTTTCCCAAGTTCACAGTACATTGCACAACAGATCGAAGACAGAGTCTCAATATGTACCACCTGTGGTATCGAAAACTAAAACAGGACGGGGGGAAGAAAAACGATAGAAAAAGGTGTCAACTTACTCAATGCAGCCTTGTCAATTCTTCTACTCTCTTGCAGAGCTCCTCCACTGAAACGCGCATTTGTTTTGAGATCTCGTCCATCTTGCTACGGTTGAGATCAAGGAACGATTCTATCAGATCGCCATCCAAGAAATTTTTGGCGTCTACAGTTTTCTTCTCGTTGCTGAATGATCTCCACTGCTCATGGTTCAACCCTCCAACACCCTTTATCACCTTCCTCAAGTTTGACTGGAGCTTCTCCAAAAATGCATAATGTTCTTGAGGAAGTGAGGCAATTACTCCAATTACACCATTGACGGTGCCAAAGATGACAGTTGGAATCTGGCCCACGTCAGAGTCTGGCAACCGCATGACAAGAGAGCCGTGCCGGAACCTATTGACAAACTCGCCTAGGTGATACTCACCTACAACCTCAAGGCGGCCCCGTTCCTCATCAGTTGCACCCTCACTATTTTTACGAACAGTGAACAGGTTGACGAAATTTTCAGCTCCAATGTAAACATCATCGTCGAGGATCTCTACAGCAGACATCCAATTTGCATTATAATCACGGGCTCGCTCCTCAATGGCACCTTCCTCATGCTGAATACAAGAACAAAAAATTTCGGCTCAGCAAGAGAATAGTTTATAATGTGTAGCATTACCAAACCTAGGGGAAATGAATTTATGGACGGACAGAGGGCACAAGAGGGTAAATCTGGGTCTACAAATTCCAACAAGAGAACCTCACTATTACCAAGACAAAACGTTAAAACATGTCGCACGATGGACTAGCAGACGCAAAGGGGACTATTCTCATGAGGCATTGATTAAGCAAATCAACTATTGCTATTACTTTGAGTAAGTACTAGTCCATGACATGCAGGGGGTTGAAAATTAGTATTATTACCTTGTACATTAACAGAGAGATTGACTTCATTAAATCCCCAACAATAATGAAGTCTCCACGAGTCTGGACATAAAGGGCAAGTATGTGGCCATGATCCACATTCCGATTGCAATTCACGAGTACCATCATCCCGCAGAGTCCACTTGTATAACTGTATCTTTTGATTAATAGCAGCAAGTAGCTTGCCATTGAACGCATTCAACGAGTAAACAGACCCCTTGGTTTCCTTCTCAGCAACGAGCTGCAGCTTCCCATCTTCAACAATGAAAACCAGAATGCGGCCCTACAATTATACAATATTGTCAGCTTACAGGGGGAGGATGGAATATCAGCTAGTTACCAGTTCAAGTGAGATTTCTGCACTAAAACCAGTAAACTAAAATCCTATCTTACCTTGGTTGGCTCATTTTCTTCCGGGAGAACATATGCAGTCCCGACACAGTAATATAAATTACTGTCATCTGAGAAAGAACAGCTTAGTATAGAGCAGGCATACTCAAAAGCGTCCAGTTGATAATATGTTATGAGGTCAAAACTCTGGTCATCTAACAACCGGATGAAGTGTGTTTCTGAGTCTTCTGCACTAGACTGGTTATATTTCACACTCAAAATGGCGAAAGTCCTGGACTGCTCCTGATGACAGATACGACGCGCATGCTCACCTAGGGGAATAGAGCGAATATGAAGCTTCTGGATGTCATCAAGTGCCGATAGTAAGTTCACCTTCCTTAGCAATTGCAAGGCTGTTGTCACGAGAAAGGGAAAAATAAGGAAAACTGTTTACTCTGAAAGTTGACAGTTTAAGGAGGCTGGGGGAAGAGTTCCCCCATCAAACCTATGTAGTAAAAGAGCAGAAAGAAAAAGAAAAAACTCATGTTTGTGTCTAAGTTGCAACTGGACCATTATTTTTATGTAAATTTTCATTTAAATCAATATTTAAAACATGCTAATAGACGTCTGGTCAGTTGCTATACTATTTTATATAAACTTTCATTTTAAAAAATATCTAAAACATACTAATTGCATAAACATCTGGTCAGTTGCTGTAAAATTTTATATAATTTTTATTTGATTACATTTTTTTTTTTTGAGAAGAAACAAACATTTTATAAAAGAACAGAGAAATACACAGAAGTGGATAAGAAATCCACCAAGAACAAAAACAAGAAAATCTCTCAAGAGGATCTGGCTTACATCAACAAAACCTAAACCTAAATCACTTTATTTGATTACATATTTAAAACATGCTAATTGCATATACGACATCTGGTCAGCTGCTATAATAAAGCATTGTATCACACCAACAAAGGGTAACTCTAATAATCAATTTGGAAACTAACCCATCATTTTGACTACTATAAACCTTCCTGGTATGATAATTTACACAAAATGGCAGCCATCACATAAGTAATAGAGGATTACAATCTGAAAGTATGAAAAAGATAAAATATTTGGATATAGACTTAACCTCGTATCCACCAAACCGAGGTCCTATCTGTATTTTACGAGTGAACAATAGAAAGAGCAAAGTACCTGTCTGGAAAAGCAGCAGAGTTGAATGGGCACATATGGCTGACTTCTTTCAGATTTACATTGCTGTAAAGCAATTTTTTGTTGCTACTATAGATGACAGTTGGCCTATCCGATGCAGCAAATACATGCGTAGTACTCTTGGATGAGAAGGTACGGAGTGTAATGGGCTGCGTCCCAAGTGAGACTTTTTTCCTGTCCGTCAACTCACCAGTGCTTGTGTTCAATATAAAGTTTAAGAGGTGCCCATCTCCAAGGGCACACAATAGGTAGGATATCTGATTAGAAAAACACAGTAACAGAAAGCTTACTCAATAACCAAATAACTAAAGTAAAAACTTATGAAGGAACTAAAGAAAGCAATAGATGTGCAAACTAATATTCCCTCATCTACGTTACATAAGTACACATTGATTGACACACCAACATAGGCCCAAACTCTCTAGTAAATTCGAAAATGATGATAATGAAAATTATAATCAGTTAAACATGCTATTAGAAGAGCCACTCCCCATTGCTAATCCCAAAAAAGACATTGTATTTCTGACCAATATTAATGAGAAGTCATATGAAATGAATACAACTGAGAATCGATTTAGTGAAGAAGGTCAAGCACAGGCATACCCCTTCAAAGGCACAAAGAAGAACAGAACGAGGTATGATCTCCCCTCCCAAATGTTCCTTTGTGATGCGGCTCAGGGCAGGAAGTGAATATATCTGGACACTAATATCTGTCCACATTCCAACAGCTGCCAGCTGGCTATAGTTGGGATTGTCACCTATGGGGTTTATGTCAAGGCATGATATCTCAAAATCTAACTGTGCGTGGTTTTTCTCTGTCAATACCCCATCACCTATTTCCAAATAAACTAAATGCTTTCCACCAGTCGCCAATAAGACCTGTCACAGAAGTAGATTAAAGCAACAACCAGTTAGCGCATTAACATCAGGCAACCAAATGTTAAGGCAGACATCCATGAAAAGAAACAATACCATGTTAGGAAACAGCATTATGGTATGGTATACTCATTTGCAATTCTGAGACTAGAAAGGGGATTTATCAACACCGGAGAATCTATCAAAAAGGGGATTTATCAACACCGGAGAATCTATCAAATATTTTTTATTTCCAATTTCAAAGAAATAAGAGAATTAACTTAGGTTTTGGGAGTCAACAGAAGCCCCTTATGAAAAATCACCTATTCTAGATTATAATAGTATAAGATGTTCTGAATATTTAAGGGGAACATGATTCCTAAGTCCTCGTGTTTTACAAAAGATTTTCCCACAAAAAAAAAAAAAACACCTGATTTGATTCAATGACACAGCTAAAACTGCCATGGTCCTTGCTTGAAAAATTAGTTATTAATAAAAAAAACACAATTTTCATTAGCTTACTTGCAAACTTAAATGTTAGAACAAGTAGAAACAAAACCTGGGTGGCATTAGCAGTGGCAACATTAATCGAATTGCCTGCTGGAGCATTCCACTCATGCT